CCCCCCGAGCCCCGCCCCCAGAGCCTCGCCCCGTCCGAACCCCGCCCTTCTGAGCCCCCGCCGCTCGGTCCATCCGAGCGCATGCGCCGCACAGGGGCGCCTTTTACGACGCGGCAGACGCGGCGCTCTTGGAGACCGGAGCCGAGTCGGGCTAGCGCGACACTAGAGGCGGTGGGGCTGAGAGGACGCGCGGGCGGCGCCGTCGCCATGTCGCACGGCCACAGTCACGGCGGGGGGGGGGGGGGGCCCGAGGGGGAGGACCCGCCGGAGCCGCGCGGCCTGGCCTACGGCCTGTACCTGCGCATCGACCTGGAGCGGCTGCAGTGCCTGAACGAGAGCCGCGAGGGCAGCGGCCGCGGCGTCTTCAAGCCGTGGGAGGAGCGGACCGACCGCTCCAAGGTGGGCCGCTTGGGGCCGGGGAGGCCAGGCGGGGTCCGTGCCGAGCTCAGGCCTCCGGTCTGCTCCGTCAGCCTCGTTCCTGATGTTAAAAATAACGACCACCCGGCTGCCAAGCGCTTTCCCCTGCCGGTCTCCTGCCCGTTGTTTGAGAGGCGAACAGGGTTGAGTCTCCCCATTTTGCAGACAGGGAAACGGAGGCCCTGGAGCAAAGGGAGCGCGTTGGCGTTGTCTGGCCTCCCGCTCTGCTCCAGGGCTGTGTGGTCAGTGAGGGCGTTTTCCTTTCCACTTGACCATGAGTCTCGGTGACTGCCTGATTGTACTACCGGGTGAAGACCAGCTAGTACGACAGCCATCGAAAGCGGTAGACCCTCTCAGTAGAAAACTGCGCAGAAGCACGGATGAATTTGCAGTTCTGGAGGCTCGTGAACCCCGGGGGTTCATTGACAGAGTCTCCATTTTAAGAGCCCTCTGATTGGATGGTCCGTAGCTGTTAGGACACCATGGATAAGACCAATTAACTTCGAGTGATAAGTCCTGGAGAACGGAGGAAGGCTGTTTGCATTGCATCCCAGTTGTAGAACAGGGCGGGAGATGCCTGGAATGTGGGCGCTCAGCAAATATTTGTTGCTTTCTCCCCCTCCCCATCCCCTCCAGTTTGTTGAAAGTGATGCAGATGAAGAACTTCTGTTTAATATTCCGTAAGTATCTCCTGGTGCCCGCCTCAAGCTAAACAGGTCATACCCTGTTGCCCTCTTGGACTGATTCATTCATTCTGTGTCAAGAGAGCACATGCTAGAAATGGGGCAAATTACTTTGGTGGTTTGAGGAGGAACGTGTTTCTTAGCACAGACTGGAAACAGATGTATTTGTTGAACAATAATTGAGAAACCAGGGTAAGTTTTCTAGAATTGGAGACTGCCAGAGATAGATCGGGTCTTAGAAACGATCTAGTACACATCTGACGTGAGAAAACTGAAGGCCAGAAAGGGGAAGGGTCTTGCCCAGGGTCACACGGCAAAGCAAGGACTCAAGCACAGCCTTGACAACCTTCTCCTTTGCATTCGGCAGATTTACTGGCAATGTCAAGCTCAAAGGCATCATTATAATGGGAGAGGATGATGACTCCCACCCCTCCGAGATGAGACTGTAAGTGGCAAGGGCTCAGGCCCTCAGGAAACCCCTAGTTCTCGTTCCCTTTCTCTAGTAATAATGTCATTTTTCTTTTTACTGGTTAAATATCCTCCCCCCCCTTTTTATTTTTAGAATTCTTTTATTTAATTTTATTTATTTACTTATTTTAATTTGACCAGAGAGGGACAGAGTGAGAGAGAGGGAAAGTGAGAAAGCAAGTTGCTGGGTCTGGGACTCAAACCGCAGTCGGCCGTGTAAGAGTCCAGCATCTTTAACCACCAATGGGAGAGGATGATGACTCCCACCCCTCCGAGATGAGACTGTAAGTGGCAAGGGCTCAGGCCCTCAGGAAACCCCTAGTTCTCGTTCCCTTTCTCTAGTAATAATGTCATTTTTCTTTTTACTGGTTAAATATCCTCCCCCCCCTTTTTATTTTTAGAATTCTTTTATTTAATTTTATTTATTTACTTATTTTAATTTGACCAGAGAGGGACAGAGTGAGAGAGAGGGAAAGTGAGAAAGCAAGTTGCTGGGTCTGGGACTCAAACCGCAGTCGGCCGTGTAAGAGTCCAGCATCTTTAACCACCACACCACCTGCTGGCCCCAATATTTTCCCTTTTGAAATATCTTGGTCTTGTGCTTGTTCTAAGCAAGCACAGGCTAAACTTATCTCCTCCTGAATTAATTACTTTTTTAGATTAAGCATCTCTAGTCTAAGGCCAGCAGCTCGTCTCTCATTTTCAAAGTGCAGGCTGTAGCACCATTCATTCAGAGAGCATTCTGTAAATGCCAGTTATTGATGACTTTGCAGTGTTCTAATAACCCAGCTATAGTTTTCAACTGATGTTTATGGATTCTGTCCTTGGGATTGGCTTCAAAATGTCCATTGGTATTTCATACAGTAATAAATTGTTACATGTGTTTTGTGGACATGGAATTACAACATCTGAGTTCATGAGGCCTCTAGTTAGCAAAGTTCTGTGTACCTCTTGCATTGCTCCATCTGTTGGCCACCAGAGCTAATATTCCCTGTTTTTTCCTTAAAGTTTTTGACATAGGGTGGTTGCTCTCGGAGGAGTCAGTCAGAGGGAAAATGTGAAAGCACCTCCCAGGGGGATGGCCATGCCGCAATCCCTTCTCCATTCTACTCTAGGAATTTTGGGCATGCATGCACGTGTGCCTAGCGAGATTTTCAAGCACCAGGTGCTGAACACCTATCGGCATCAGCCACGTTGGAATCCCACGCCTTCACCACCATGCCACCACTCAGTACTCCTGTTGGACAGTTGACCTTAATCTACGATAGCCTTCCTCAAGGAAGGGCAAAACTGTTTTTTGAGTGCTAGAGAAAACAGATACCAGGAGAACTTTACATAAAATAATTTCATCTGAAAAATTGATCAATTTAAGTAGACTTTAGAAAAATTAAAGAAATTTATACTATTTTTGAATGTTAGAAACAGGAGTTTAAAATCAGATCCAAGTATTTAATCTTTTTAAGGAAACTAAATTTGCTCTCATGGTCTTGGAGACTCATTTACTTGGGAGATATATTGGATTGGCTTCAGATGGCTGGGTGTCCGTGTTGCATTGTGGCTTGAGCGTGGGCTCCAGAGTGACCTGGGTTCAAATTCTGGCTGTACCTTTTGTTAGCTGTATGACTTTGGGATTTCTCTGTGCGTTGATTTTCTTGTGTGTGAATTGGAAACAACGAGCAGACACAGATACCTACAACCCTCAGTTCAAGGCACACTGCTTTATTGATAAGATGCCACTGAGTGTAATGCACCATTTTCTGTACAATTAATAAAGAAGAAACATGGCGCCTCTTCAGTTATGACATGCCATGGGCATGTCCAGAGAAACTGAGGGTCTTAAAGGAGGGCTACGGAGGCTAACACGGTGGAGTCTGCGTGTTGTGCCTGTTAAAGAAGAGTGTAAGTATGTGGAGAATCATATTCTCTCTGCTTTTTGTGCATATTTGAAATTTTCAGAGAAAAAATTTTAAAGAATTATTTTAACTTTATCCACTTACTTATTTTGGAGAAGTTTTTGCTATAGGGTGCGCGCGCTCACCAGAAAGACAGAGATAGACAGAAAGCGAGAAATCACCCCCCAGGGGGGATGGTCACACCACAGTCCCTTCTCCTCCATTCTCCTCTCGGGATCTTAGGCACGCACATCCACGCGCCTGACGTGAGTTTAAGCCACTGGGTCCGGGACTCGAACCACGGTTGACTATGTGCGAGTCCAGCGACATAGCCATTATGCCAACTGCTGGTCCCTACTTATTTTATTATTTTAATTTGACCACAGAGGGATAGAGAGAGAGAGAGAAAGTGAGAAAGCGAGAAAGGAGGCCGTCAGGTCCGGAACTCATCACAGTTGGCCATGTGGGAGTCCAGTGCCCTTAAACACCACTCCACCTGCTGGCCCCGCAGAGTAAAAATTTTCTAAATATATGCGTCTGTTAAAATTGATTTAATTTTATCTCCACATCAACTGTGTAGAATATGTACTATCTCTATTCCCACTTTACTGATGAGAAAACTGAGACACAGGTTAAATACTTGTCCCAAATTACACAGCTGGTAAGTGACAGCGCCAGGCTTTAAAACTCAGGAAGTCTAGTCTAGCAACACTGCTTTTAACGAGGCACAGTACTGCCCTCATGATGCTGCTCGTAAAGCGCACCCTGAGGTGACTCTGCTGGGCATCGTGAGGAACGCTTTGAAGCAAACACTTGTTTTTTTATGCGTTTTACCACAGCTGATATCTAGGCTCCTGTGTGGGTGTGAATGAAACACCTTGGAGGTGGTGGGGATGTGTCTGCTATGGAGACAACTGTTTTTTAGGTTTTCCTTTGAAAGATCTTTTTCACTAGTTTTTTTTTAAAGTTTTTGCCATAGGGCATGTGCACTTGACAGAGAGAGATAGTGAATTTAAGATGCCTTTGGGTGTGAACACTCCCCACTTCCAGTGGGGATGGCCGTGCCACAATCCCTTCTCAGGATTTTGGGCACACATGCACATGTGTCCTCTGTGATTTTCAAGCCAGCGGGTCTGGGATTCAGACTGGTCAGCCATGTGGGAGTCCAGTGCCTTAACCACCATGACACCTGCTTGCCCCTTTACTAGTTTTACCTTGACTTTCTAAAGCCCGTTGTGAGTTTGCAGCCTTTTGTGCTGTTTCAAAACAGAAGTCCCCAAACTGTACTTTAATTAAAGAACTGTAAGATGACTGAGTGTATGGGGTAATTTTTGGACGCAAAAAATTCTTTACTGTTGGGTTACTTGCTCTTACCTCTTAACTGTTTGATGTGTTTCTGTCAAAAGAAAAAAGTTTTTCCCCGTGAGTAGGCAGTTTCATTTAAGCTTCTCAGCTGGCTCTGAATGTGCTGAGTTGCCTATTTCCTCCATCCACTGGCTGCACGTGACCTAGTTCAAGCCACCTCTTTGTGTACTGCTTCTCATGTGACCCTAGCCCACTCAAAGCTGCCACCGGGTTCTGGTGCAGTCCTCAGCTCTTTTCTTGTGGAATTACAGATAATCATGTATAAATGCCAGCAAAATGGCATTTCTAAAATTTGATCTCCTTTTGATAGAACTGAAATGAGTTGAGCTGTCTAGAAAGTTTTGAAAAACCAAGAGACCAGCAGATGGTGTAATGGTAACGTTGCTGGACTCCCACATAGTTCATTGTGGTTCAAGTCCCAGACCCGGTGGCTTAAACTTACACAAGGGTGCATGTGTATGCATGCCCAAGATCCTGAGAGAAGAATGGAAGAAAAGGAACTGTGGCATGGCCATCCCCCCTGGGGCTGATTTCTTGCTTTCTGTCTCTCTGTCTCTGTCTGTTCAGTGAGCGCATGTGCCCGGTAGCAAAAATCTCGCAAAAATAAATAGATAAATAAAAAGAACAGAAGAACCAAAACAGACATGATTATGCACGTCTCTTGATTTTCCCCCTTTCCTTTCCCAGGTACAAGAACATTCCACAGATGTCCTTTGATGACACAGAAAGAGAGCCAGATCAGACCTTTAGTCTGAACCGGGACGTTACAGGAGAATTAGAGTATGCCACAAAGTAAGCACTGGGCCTGTCTCACTCTCACTGGCGGGCCTCTTCTGAGCAGCAGGCCCGCCCTCACGTGCCAGGAGCATGACCGCAGCAGCGCTTGCAGGGGTTGCCTTGTACTTCTGGCAGACTCCTGCTCTTCTGACATGGGGCTGAGTTAAGACAGTGGAGGAGCCTTGATCCTTGGCTTGGTCAGCTTTTGGCAGCGATTCAGTGCAAGCCACAGACTTGTTAAGTTGTAAGCAAGTGGACCTGAATAGCACCTAAGGTAGTCCTAGGAAGGAGGTTTTCGGAATTCCTCTTTGTATGTGGGCTTTGGGCAGGCTGAGTTACATGTGACCACCTTATCTCTTCCTTAGTTTTCTTTTTCCTATGGGGGCGGTCAGCACTGCTTTAGAATTCTGGGTTATATATTGATAGCAATTCTCATTCCTTTCCCTTGAGGGCAGGAGCAGTGTTTATTCCCCCTTCTGTCCCTGCTGCCTTGGACAGGATCTAACAAATGCTTACTAAGTGTTTTTGAATGAACTATTTGTCCAAAGGAGAAAATGAGAAGGTAGACTCCAAGAGTGTTCTCTGGTGCTTGCCGGGTTTTACCACAGTTGGAACTGTTTGACATGGTGGTAAGATACTCAGCCATAACTAAGTCTTTTCTTACTCCTTTTTTACTCTAGAATTTCTCGTTTTTCAAATGTCTATCATCTCTCAATTCATATTTCAAAAAACTTTGGAGCAGATACCACAAAGGTCTTTTATATTGGCCTGAGAGGAGAATGGACTGAGGTAAGATGGGGTTGGAAAGGCTGTACCCCTAAAACACACACACAGTCATCCCTCAGAATCCACAGGGCCTCCTGCAGGGGATCAAAATCCTGATTTTTATGTAAGGCCCTTATATAAAATGGCATAGTGGGCCAGCAGGTGGTGTGGTGGTTAGTGTGACTAAATCTCATGACCAACCATGTGGTTGGAGTCTTGGACCTGAAGGCTTGAAATCATGCCAGGCATATATGTACACATGCCCAAAATCCCAAGATGAGAATGAAGAAGGGATTGTGGGGGGGGCCATCCCTCCAAAGGGGATGCTTTCTTATTTCCCCTATCTGTCTCTGACAAGTACCCATTCCCTATAGCAAAATTAAAAGAAAAAAGGCATCATGGGGCCAGCAGGTGGCATTGTGGTTAAGGTGCTGGACTTCCACATGGCTGACCACAGTTCAAATCCTGGACCTGGCAGCTTGAAACTCACACTGAGCATGCATGCATGTGTGCTCAAAAATCCCAAGAGGAGAACAAGGGAGAGGAGATTGCAGCATGACCATCCTAATCTCTAGGGGGTAATTTCTCTCTTTCTCTTTCTCTCGCTCTGGCAAGTACTTTCACCCTATACTGACAATCTCTTTAAAAAAAAGTAAGAAAAAAGATAAATTATTTGCATTTAACCTGTGAATAGCCTCCCATATTACTTTATTTCTCTACTTGTTTATTGAAGTTTTGTCAGAGGGTGCCTGTGCTTACCAGAGACAGGAGGAGAGGGGAAAACCTCCACCTGCTTCCCTGGTGGGTCTGGGCATACTGCATTGCAGTCCCTTCTCTATTTCTCCACTCTGTTAGGATTTGGGGCACACATGCACATGTGCCTAGCTGTTTTTTTCAAATCCTGGACCTGGCAGCTTGAAACTCACACTGAGCATGCATGCATGTGTGCTCAAAAATCCCAAGAGGAGAACAAGGGAGAGGAGATTGCAGCATGACCATCCTAATCTCTAGGGGGTAATTTCTCTCTTTCTCTTTCTCTCGCTCTGGCAAGTACTTTCACCCTATACTGACAATCTCTTTAAAAAAAAGTAAGAAAAAAGATAAATTATTTGCATTTAACCTGTGAATAGCCTCCCATATTACTTTATTTCTCTACTTGTTTATTGAAGTTTTGTCAGAGGGTGCCTGTGCTTACCAGAGACAGGAGGAGAGGGGAAAACCTCCACCTGCTTCCCTGGTGGGTCTGGGCATACTGCATTGCAGTCCCTTCTCTATTTCTCCACTCTGTTAGGATTTGGGGCACACATGCACATGTGCCTAGCTGTTTTTTAAGCTGCCAGGTCTGGGACTCAAACCACACGTTCAGCCATTTGGATCTGGCTGCCTTAACCATTAGGCCACAGAGCCGGTCCCTACCATATACTTTAAATCATCTCTAGACTACATATGGTGTAAGTGCTATGTAAATAGTTATACTGTATTTTTTTAATTGTATTTTTTTTTATTGTGGTATTTTGTGCCTTGTCTATTTTCCCGAACATTTTCAATATGTGGTTTGGACTGATGGATACCAAAGGCTGGCAATGTGTCTGTACATTGTGGTGTGGTGGGAGCTTTAAAAGGAAAAAAGCAAGTGAATCATCAGTTGCTCCCAGTCTGTTTATAATTTATCACTGTAAGGTGTTTGTGACATTTGATAGCATATAAGTATTTTTTAAGAGGTTTGAAATTATGTAATTTATCTCAATTCATAGTTTTTTCCATTTCAAAATATTTAATTCAATGTTTCTGATAATCTTACTCATCCCAGGCACTAGCAATAAGGTTGTAGATAAGATGGCTAAGTTCTTGATCTCCTGGTGTCCCATCGTAGTAGGGGAAATGGATCTCTGAGTTATGAGGCAAATCATTGGTAATGATCTTTGCAGGCTTCTCAAGGTAAGAAGCATTAGAAGAGGGGAGATACTAGACGCAGACTCAGAAATGGACCTGACCTGAAAAGGACGACTCCAATGTGTGTGGTCTGGGAAAGGACAGTTCTCTAATGGCCATCTGACATAGCTTCTTGATTTTCTTGCAGCTTCGCCGACATGAGGTGACCATCTGCAATTATGAAGCATCGGCCAGTCCAGCAGACCACAGGGTGCATCAGGTCACCCCACAGACACACTTTATTTCCTAAGGGCTGGCCAAGGCTCCCAAAGAGGCGCTGTGTCAGTGAAGATGTACGACTGCCTATAGGGAGAGACAGAGATGAGGCTCCAGAGAGGTGGCTGCCACAGCCTCTGCTGAGCTTTGTCTTTGGGGCTAACTGCAGCAGCCTGACCTGCAGAAGACGTCACGCCACTGGGAGTCCTGTGTGTGTGCTAAGGCAGTCATAGTTGTCTAGGGCTCTGCAGAAGTTGGGTCTTGGTCTGGGTGGTATTTTGCAGTCATGGATCATGATGCCCGCTTTTCCAGTTGATGCGGCCATGGCATCCCAAGTGTATTCATTGCTTTGTGGCAGGATTTTTGCGTGACTTGTATTTTAAAATGTGGAAACTATTCCTGAGCTGTTGGGAATTTTCTAGAGCTTCAGGGTTCTGTGTGTTAGCCATCGGGAGGATCTCCAACTAGAACCACTTGACCCTCCTTGCACTTTTTCCCTGTCTGTGTTCAGCGTTCTTGTCGAGTCCAGCTTGGAGTTACCTGTCACACATGAGCGTCCCATGGAAATAGCTAGAAAGGCAGGAGTCTCCTGATGATGCGTGACAGCTTGGGGGAGGAGGTCTTTCCCACTGCCCAGCTAAGCAATCTGGGGAAAGCATGGGAATCATTTCTGTGTTTGTGGGTAACCTCGTGGGGGTAAGATTGAGATTTAGTTAAGAGCCCCCTTGGAACCTCTGTAATGTTTATTAGCTTCTAACTAGTGTTGTAAACCCGGTGCCAGAACTTGGAGATCTCTGAGTTCTTCTGTTCACGGCTTTTATTCACTGTGACTGATCAGCTTCCTAATAAATCCTTGCCAGACTAACATTTGTATTTTCTTTCAAGTTCTTGGTAGCACTGCTGACACTTGGATTTTACATAGGACTGTGTGGTGAACTTTGACATTTGTTATTATTGTTTTGGACTAGGTAAATCTTTAGTGCCACAGTTAAGTCAAGACTAGAGCACCTTCTCCAGCAGAGGCTGAGCTTAATTCTATACAGTAGACTAAACACACCCTACGCTCACATTTTATAGAGAAATGTCGGCTCCAAAACCTATATTCCATTTCTCACAAAGGGAAGGAACTTGGGAGTGAAGTGTATAAAAATAAGGAGAACAGATTCTGGAATTCATCAAAAGAGAGAAGGATGAGGGCTAGCCCTTGTAGCCTGGTAATCAGGGAAGCCATATCCCACATGGCCAACTACGGTGTTTGAAACTTGACCCCTGCAGCTTGAAAACATGGTGAGTGCATATGTGTACATCCCCAGAACACCAACAGGTTGGAGAAACAGAGAAGGGGTGGTGGCATGATAGTGCCCCATTGGAGGGTCCCTTCTCCTCCCTGTCTCCCTTTCTCTAGCAACTGCACGTACCCTCTGGCACATTTGAATAAATAACCCGAAGATTGTGTGTGTGTGTGTGTGTGTGTGTTTGGGGTGAAATAGAGTTAGAAATTTTAGAGTAGACTAGCCATTCATTAATCCCAATAATTAAAGCACTAGCACCAGGTAGCCCCTGAGACCTGGTCTCAGAATCTGAGGCTTCACTAAAGAATTTGCTAAAAGTGCCCCAGACCAGAATGAAAAAATGGCATTATTACATAAGTGGACCCAGCAGGGATTTGGAGTGAGGGCAACTGTATTGGTTTATCCCCCTTCTCTTTTCACATCCAGTCCTGAGTCCTTGGCTTGCTGTGGTCCCCCAGGTCCAAAGGTTTCCTGTCCAGTGCTAGTATTTTAGGCTCCATCTCTGTGACCTGTTGAGTATTTCAGACCAAACTGCCTCCAGGCCTGGGGAAAAGGACTTCACTGAGCTTCCAAGTGTGTGTGTAGTGCTTTCTTTAAGTTTGAAGAAAAACCAGTCCAGGTCACACTGAGAAAATGAGTCTTCAACTGTTGAAGGACAAGCGTGACTCATTTCCTGTTTGCAGATCCCCACCTGTTCTCTCCGGCGAGGTGGTCCTTCAAAAGCTCCATTTGCTTCCCTTCCAGCCTTTCCGTGGGCCCTGTGCCCTCCTTCCACTTTACCAGTGGCAAGGAGCAACAGGTGCCTCGGTGGCCCGGCCGGCCCTGTCCGTTCACAGCTGGAGCTCATTCGATGGTGGTATCTCGGGCCTGTCGGCCTGCCATTGCCCGTCCACACCGCCGATGCCAGCCGTCCAGCCACCTATGCGGCCTGAGTACTCTCCCACGCTCCTCGGTGGAGTCGGCCCACGCTGATTTTACGGTGTATGAAGCATGAACACACGACCTCATTTGAGCCTAAGAGCCACGCGGTGAGGTCGCAGGTGGTGGTTTCCATCGGTTTACGGCTCAGGAAGCAGGTCGGGGAGGCGTGCCCTGTCACCTGAGGTCGCTGTTTACCTACCGCCGCGGGCTCAGCCTCGTCGGCTCTAAGGACCCGGCGGGGCGGCGCGGGCGGCGGCGGCGTGCGCTTCCTCCAGGGGGCGCCGGGGTGGTGGGAGCCGGGGGGCGGAGGAAGGGCCAGGAAGTCCCCGCGGGGCCCGGCGGGCAGGACCTCGGCCTCCAACATGGCCGCTCCCACGCGAGGCCCTGGCCCGCTTCCGGGTTCCGTACCGCTGGCCGGGCTACTTCCGGCAGCGCGCAAGCCCGGT